ACGCCTCCTGGGCGCGCGGGCGCAGGCGGCGGGAAGCGGCGCCATCTTGAGCCGCCTGAGGGAAGGGCGGAGGCGCCGCCCAGGGCGGGGAAACGCGCCCCGAGCCCTCGTCAACAGCCCCAAACGGGGGGCGCAGCCGCCCCCGCGYCCGCCTCGAGCAGCCCGGCCGCACCCGGGACCCGCTGCCCGCGACCCCCCGGGGGCACTCGACGAACCACGGCGTCCAGCAAAGGCCAGGAAGCAGGTGCAGTGTTTCACTCATTTTACTCATTAGGTAGTTCATTTGAATGTTTCATAGTACAAAATTAGCTGCCACAGCCCACACATACATGGGACTTCAAGAAAGCCGTCTGCTTACACCCAAAAGCACGTTTCCTTTTAAAGAAGAACTTTGTGAAACAATACTGCATTAATCTTAAACCCTTAAAGCTAAATAATGCTAAGATTTTACACAATCTACATAATTTTAAATCCAAACTAAATTTACCAACCATTGTAAAATTAATGCTTTTGCAGGTAATCAGGTTACAGACTTTTTCATTTAAATCAGAGCGAAGTAGCCCAAGCTGGAACAAGTGTCTTCAAGCACTTGCTGTTTCAACAGCAGCTCATTGTTATTGCCTCAGAACAAACTTGACACAAATTATTGAACAAAAAAGCAAGACGTCGTTTCCCCACAAAACCGTAAAAAACCTGTTACAAGCAACAATAAAATGCCTTCTAGACGGGCATTATGCTAGGAAGCATAAATGCCTTTTAGATAGGAATATCTAGGAAGCTTCCTAGACAGGAAGCATTTATAAAATGCAGAGCTCTCTCAGATAGCAAAGTGTATGCATGGGGGCACTCACTTCCTTCCCCCCATTTATACTCAAAACCCAGAAATGATCATTTACTGCGTGAAGAGGACACACATCCTCAAAACATTCTTACTTGCTCGGGGAAATTGGCAATTGCACAGATACTTCACCAAATCGAACTAGGCAGCAGCTACTCAGACTAGGAAAAGAGTACTTGATGCAAATCTGTACAGTTAAAAATATTCAAGGAAAGCTGCTTGAAGCTGCTAACTCACCATGCCAGTCACTCCTGAAGAAACACCATGGTTACAGTACAATCTTCACATTGTATTAAGCTTGCAGCATTCAAAACTACAAGTAGGAAACAGGGCTAGTGTATGCCATTCCCTGGCATCTAACCCATCTCTGTGTTTTACACATAAGCCAATCAAGCCCATAGATATTTAATACTGTTTCAGCCCCTTGTTGGTAAGAACAATAACAACAATCACTTTTACGGGGTGTAAATCCCTGAAGTTTCCATACAGTGTACAATACGAAAGGCTCTAAGTTTTTACAAGCTTGATGCAAATAACTGCACACTAAATGACTATGGTGCAGTTTTCTCCATAATTTAAGAGGTGCCCTCCTGCCCAGACAATTAAAAACAAATTTTAAAACCAAAGCACCAATATGTTACCAGCATATGTGGAGAAATTTACAATCTTCTATTTTTAAAGAAGAATTGACAAAAAGCATTCAGGAATATTGCTTTTTTTTTTTTTTTTTAAACAAAAAAAAAAAAAAAAAAAAAAAAAAAAAAAAACACACACAACCACCTGGAATAAAGCTGCTGAGACAAAGCTCTCTACATACACCTGCATGTTGCTGTAATACTCAAAAAAGCAACATCAACGCATGGAGCATTTCTCTTAATGGCTACTAGTGTTCAAAGAAGTGTAAGATTGTGGAGTTAACTACGCCGTTGTATCCTGGGAATTAAAATTCTGCAGGTGGCACCAAGATGGGTTTCCCATAACGGGTTCACATTGCTTTCACTTTGATTTGCTTCATCTTCATCTGCTTCTTCTCCAGTTTCTTCTGCTCACGCCGCAAAGCGGCTTCCTGTAGGAAAGATACAGGGACCTAGATGAACATCAAGAGTTTTCTTCCCAGAAGCTAAGCATTTCAGAAGAGGAAAGCAACAACAAAAAACATAGTCTGTTAGGTTTGCATATTGTGCAAGCACAAGAGTTGGCTCCGAAAGCAAGAGAATAGAGCATGAAGGCTCTCTGCCCTCTAGCACACTAAGACATTTGAAGTTCTCCTCCCCACCAGTACATTAACAAGCAGCCCTGGAGATACTATAAGAGAAATCTGCAAGTAGTGGGTAACCATCTCACCTCCAACCGACGCTGTTTTTCTGGATCCTCCTCATTCATGATTCGCTCCTTTTCCGCCCGCTTTTTCTCCTCTCGCCGAGACTGGGCGGCCTCCTGTCTTTGAACGTGAGTCAGTTTAAGGAAGTTCTCTTCCACTCGAGCTCTGTTCTTATCAGCTTTTTGTTTACCCTTTGCACAGAGAAAAGTTCAGTTACTCCATTTTGCTCATGGGGAGTCAGTATTATCTTTGAAAGTTGCACTAGGAACTAAGGCTTCTAACCTTAAGATTAAAGGGTAGTTTTTGAAACTTCATACAATATTCAGAAGAGAGAAAAGAATACAATGGTTACCTCTCTGTTCAGACGGAACTTTTTTGCTTTGTCAATAGAGTAAATAACCATGCTCATCAGAGGCAGCAAAGACTCCATATCCTTTGGGGAAGTGTTGCCTGAACCAGGCACTGAAAAACAAAGTTCCTCAAGTTAATTTCAGAGATGTGGGCATGCTGCTGCTTTTAGCTCTAATGCTTCGCCCTTACTGCTCAAAGTATTCATGAAAGATGCTTTTATCTTGCTGTTTAAAAATGACTTAACTATCTAGAAGGGGTGTTTCACTTTGGAGATTACTTTCATAGTAACATAGTTAGTGGCAGGCACATTTTTCCCACACAATCCTTAGTTTCATACATTTGGAATACACATTTGGTGGTTGAATTATGGCCTCTATCATTAACTTCTCTTGGAGCTACAGCCTGGAGTTTCTAAGAAAAAAAATCATACGTAGACCTTCAGCCTGTTTATAAATTGAAGTGGTGCTAAGATACTCTATGTCACCCCATACTGCAGGGAGCAGCACAGATGCAAGTCATCTTTCAGAGGTGACCTAACAAGACCACCAGTACAGACAATAAGGATAGGTCCCCTGCAATTCTCRATGTTGGATCTACAAACACTCTCAAGAATCAAGGGTCTCCTGGGGTCATACTTTCTCTAATTGTGCTAGGCAGCTCTAAGAAGCAGTCAGGAGCTCAACTTGCTTCATGATGGATCATTTTAAGCTCAAAGTGATCCCAAAGTTGGGAGTTCAGTCCTGTATTACCATCATTATAATGCTACTTAGTCCCCAGTGGGGAGGGGGACTCATTGGGGTACTTTTATATACTGGTTAATCAGCAAGTGATCATGTTAACATGTGCTGCAGTCACTAGTAATACATTTTCATTCATTCATATGTGACTCACATAATTAAGTGCAACACTCCTATCTCTTACATACATACAACAGTTCTCTTACCATTAAATGTAAACAGAAGTGTCTTTTTAGTTTCGGGCAGTTTTGTAAGCTGACCCTCCCTGGTAGGAAAAAGCAGATAGTCAGAATGCGTAAAGAAAAAATACAGGCATATGAAATACATAACATTGCTAGCAGAATCTTGTTAAGAACCAAGAGACACTTGCCAAGTACTTACAAGAGTAAAATATTAAAAACCTTTCTCTACTCCAACTTTTTGTCAAATCATTTAGATTTCTGAAGCATTTGTTCATTAAAAAAAATTAAAAAGCCTTAATATAAAAACATACTAACAACACCAACCAGTGACTGTCAAAGATCATCCAAGCACTAAGAAGGCCGCATTTAGAAGCATCAGGAGTGTATTCAGCAGTTTCACCTTTGCACCGAGTTTCTTTTTGGGCACATGCTTGCAGGCAGCAAACAAGTCTGTCAGCCTACACTTTGCTTAGTATTACAGTACCCTGCTGTAAGGAGAGAGGTGGGTTTATACATACTCTTGCATAAGTTTTGGACCGGAGAACTGGTCCGAGAATTGGACGGACTCAATCTTGTCAGCGTAGTGTGTGAGGAAATGTACCATCTGAAAGAGAAGCTGGGGTTAATTTCTCCTTTCAGTGAGTTCTCATCAGTCTGCTCAACCCTATCTGYTTGCCAGACTGCCCATATATCAGAAAACTGGTGCGCTCTGTACTCAGCTTGCTGCAATGACACTAAAATGTAAGTTCTGCCTTTTTTTAATTATTATTATTTTTTAAATCAGCTTTTGCTAGAGAGGGCCTCGGTGCATAGGGTTAACATGAGCAACTCACAGATAATACACTGGCAACTCTTTCTTGGGATTTGCCAATTTTATAATCAGTCTCAGCTTTGCAGACCTGCAGATAAACCTTCAAAAACYTCCTTTGAATTGGCTGTTGGAGTTAACTTCCTGACTTCAAAAGGCTATTSTAAATTCTCAGTTCAGACCAACAACTGCCAAGTGGAATGAATACAAGAAACCACTGTTATACCCTTCGATTTCCTTTCAGCCATGACTTCTTTAAATATCACCAAGACCATTTAGCCCTTTTGTTGTGATTTTCATAGGAAACAGAGTTGAAAAAAAATATTGCTTTGAAGTTTCACGGCCACCACGGAAGATTTTTCACTAATTCATTCAAGATTACCTTTGCGTCCATCATTCCCTCTGTGACCTCTCCCATCTCTGACAGGATGGCCAGCGAATCTGGAAGCCCGTATTTTGCACCAGACTTGGGTTTATCACTGCAGAACTCACTCTATTGAAAAGAGGAGGAAGGGGAAAAGAAAGATGAGTCCCACGCATTAAGGTATCTTTAGTCCAGTTATTTGAGACAAATCATCTCATCTCACATTTTGATGCATTTTTTCAATTTTGAATTATGTAAAAATGGATGACATAGGGCCAGACTTTTCATATTATGTGTCACTATTAAGCTGGCTTTTCACAGCTTGACAAAACCACTTGTGCAAATTAAGTCAGGACAGGATACACACAAGCCATTTGGCCTTATAATACACTTAAACCTTCCTCTAAATGGACTATCCATCAAAAGGAAGAGCTTAGTTGCTTCCAGTTGCCTCTTCTCTCACAGYTCTGACACCATCTGGCCAGCATTTCATTCACTAGGTGAAAATATCTTCTCCCCCCAGACTAAGGCCAGTAAGTCACTAAAGTTCTCAGCTGTTCCCAATAATACAAGCCAGAAATGAGAGGCTCTTGTACTTCATTATTCGTTTCCTTATTATTCCAATTTGAAAACACATACCAGGTCCTGCATCTCTTTCTGAAGTCGCACCAGTGCTTTTCTTGTTCCAACAGCAAACACATAGGTGTCCATATCTTCATCATTCATTGTTACTTTTATTTGCTGTGGAACAAAACATGATTCACTTTGATCAGCTTTATAGGATGAACTCTGCCTTGAGACTACTGACCAAATAGAGACCTGGGTCTCCTGCAAGGAAAGTGCTTCTGCTATCTCAAAGTTTGTCTGAACTTTTCACTCATCTTTCATAACCACAAAGAACAAAGCCTACATGAGCAATACAGCACTAGAAGTTATTAAATTTGAAGTTTAGCGTGTCTTGGAAACATAAATTGGCTTTTTAATTTTCTGAGGACTCAATTCAGCCTTCCAGTATAATGCTGCATCATAACAACAATGAATGGAAGAGCAGTTGTAATGCTCGTTTGCATCCACTTTTTGTGGGCCTCTGTCTGCACCTWAATTAAATATTTTTATGGAAATATGGAAAAAGCATTCACAGTGCACACATCCACTAGTCACAAAAGCACTCCAACAATAAGACCCATAGATAATGTTGACAATTTTCTAGTCATCAGTTTTCATTTTAGAGAAAATGAAAAAAGAAATAACGAATTCCTGCAGATTATTACAACAGCTACAGAACTGGAAGATGTAGTATGTTGTAGAAAGAYACTAGTGAAAATCAAAAGCATCAGGGCAGAACTGAAGAAATACCAGAGTTTAGCTGAGTACATACCACTTGGTCACAAGCTGGCCTCATCATGCGAGCAAGGACATTCAGTAGGTCTTGTCTCTTGAGAAACTAAAAACACAAATTTATAAACATAGAAAAAGACTGCTTAATATACCTGAAGTACAACACTTAATAGCACATAGCAGGGGAATAAAGGAAAAATGGGACCTCTTCTCCTGTTTTCTATATTCATTCCCTAAGCACTCACTGTTATCTCCTTTGGTGACAGGACACTGGGCCACACAGATCTTTAGTGGAAAGGAACTTGAATATCAGGCAGCGGTGAACAGTGCTGCACACTCTCATCCCTACCTTTAGCTGGATAAGCATTCCTTCGCAGCACACCCTGCCAGAGCACCATAAGTTATATATGTGTTCATTTTCTTGATTTAGTTTCCCAGTGCTTGTTGCTTCTTTATTAGTGCCATCATCCCCTAAAAAAAGGGAAAGGTAACTGCAGTCTAACAATCAGATATTTAAATAGCAAAKTAGAACTCTGTGGTTTCCAAATTAGTTCAGTACCACCAGGAGGCTTCTGTGCCACAYCATAATCTCTTCCAGCATTTGAAAACTGCATATTGTTTATTTACATGCAGAGCTGCCATTAGTAGCAACATGAACTTGCATATAAAGGCTTTAGGCTTTATAGGCTACACAAAGACTTAAAACCGGCTCAGTTCGAATAAGTTAAGTGGAGCTTAGGTATTATGGAACTTACCAACAAGAGCAAAGTTGCTTTCTAGCAGCTCCCTGTGAGTATTAAACCATGCCTGAGCCAGACGATTATTCTTGTTCTTCCCAATGATGTAATTCATGATGTAAGCAAGAAGACCTGTTACCATCAGAATCTCCATGTAATAACTCTCCCAACTGTTTTGAAGGTGAGCAGGGACCTGTTGTTAAGTGAATGAAAATTGTTTTCTCAAGATTAAATGATGGGATTCTCTATGCACAAGCTATTTTGGAAAACAGAGTATTGGAGAGGCTTCATCACAAATACAGCAGCAAGATTCTCAAAGGCCACAGGTCAGAGATAAGTCTTCATACTGCATTTGGCTTTCCTAGCCAAGTATTTCCTGATCTGTATTCTAATCAACAGTTCTCAGTTTGAGCAARTGACAACATTGATCCAAATATGGGAGTTCTAGAAACTTTAAATATGTAATTCAAATAGCAAGAGTTCTTCAGGACAGATTGTCTCTTACTGTATGTAAAACAGCGACCATGCTGGCATACTGCCATAAACAAACAAGTAGTGAAGCATGAKCAGAGCAAACCAAAATCTACACTTACATTAACTATCGTTATGGGGTCTTTACTCTTGCTAGGAGATGCATCTGGTTTCTCTTCATAACCTTCAAATTCCTCATCATCGTATGGCTCACTCTCAGTATCTCCTTCCTAAAGGATAAAAATCACAAGCAGCATGAAACCCAAAATCTGGTAATCAAAATACAAAATTAATAATAATGATGATGATGAAGATGCAGAGATACATTAAAGAAACCGAGCATTACCTGTGCATCTGCATCATCAAAGTCCTCCTGATTCTCATCCTGGCCTTCAAGTTCTACAGTGGCTTCTTCTTCATCATCTTCTGTAGTGATGATCCTCTGAGGAGACTCTGTGATTGCATCTTCAGAAACATCTTCAAATTCAGCAAAGTCATTATCATCATACTCCATAATATCATCTCCATCCTCAAATTCATCATACTTTGCCCATGCAAAACTCCATGGAATGAACAGGACCGCAAGGAAAATACATAAACTCTTCATTTTCACTGCAATAAATAAAGGGAAAAAAAGTGTGCTAAAAGATGCAATTTGTGTTACATCAAAGCTCCAGTAACGCTCAACTTCCAAGAACTAATTCACACCATCAAAGGTCAGACCAAAGAGAAAGGAGAAAAAAAAGTCCTGACCGAATTTGCTGTCTTCATTAAAAAAAAAAAAAAAAAAAAAAAAAAA